GAGCTGGCATGCAACAGCAGCCCCTTGCGCGCACGATCGCGTCTGCGCTGAACGGCCGGTGAGCCGCGGGTCTTCCACCGGAGGAAGCGCCGCACACATGCAGTTCTGCATGAAGTCTTAACATGCATGCAACCTATGCCGTCGTTGCTCTGCTGATGGCTGCATCTTGACTTGAAGTGCATTCGTGATTCACATATATCAGCATCACCCGCAAGCTCTCGACAGATCTGGACCTGATGTACTACTATAGGCGGAGCGCAACACCTTCATCAAACGCTGTCGCGAGTGTGCGGAGGGAGGTCTTGCCGTCCGGCGGTGTGTATCGCCCGTGCGGGGCATCGAGGTCAGGGCAGTCACCTTGTGAGAGAAAGTTTGATGAATCGTGAATCAGAAAGTGCTTCATCTGTCCGCACTCGCCTCGTCGGAGTTCGGCGGATGAGAGCAGAGCTCTGCGGACCGCGTGATAGACCGCCTATCTGACTTCACGTCGAATAACCTGACTTCACAATCGTGGCTGGGCATTGGCGTTCACGTTTGTGATCATCCGTTACGACGCAGCAGCTATGAGTAGCTTTTGCTCGACACGCGTGGCTTAGCGGCTTAGCTGGTGTCCCGCTCGACGAAACCCTTTCTCATAGATAGCAAGGTTGGACGCGTCAGCAGTAGCAGTGAATTAGTGTGTGGACGGTCACGATAAGAAATCCGTATCCTGCTGCCCTGCCGACGCTCCAAGTCGAGCCTGTCCGCTTCTAGGCCAGGAGGAATCGCATCAAATGATCCAGCAAGCCAGGATCGAAGCCCAGGCGAAGCACAGGCAGAACATGCTACAGAGCAGCATCACAGCAGCTAGAACAGCATATCTTCTCGTGAACGATCGAAACGGATCGATCTTTCTTACACATCTGTCGTGGTAATCCTCGTCTGATCTGCGCGTATACAAAGCAGTCGCAAGCGTAGTGGATGAGCTTCGCATTGTCCCATTGGTCGAGAGTGTGGGGCCAACCTTATAGAGAGAGTGGCCTGCACCGTGCCTGACCAATAGTAAAGAAGGCACCGGCTCCCCGTCCAGCTTCTGCCCCTGCGTTCCCCGCTTTCGAGGCGACTTGCGCGGCCCTTAGTTCTG